AACATTTTCTGATGCGCAAATTCAAAGTTCAAAATTTGATGCTCAATAGAAACGCAGCTTATAATTTTTCCCGTGTGGGAAAAAAAGTGTTTATTGTTGTCCAAATCTTGAATTTCATCCGTGTTTTGATGAAGGTTGAGAGGGTGTACATTTACGCCACCTCCAGACTCGTTGTGTATTTTGTGCTCACTTCCAGGTTCATAAAAGCCGAAAAGTGTCATTTTTTTTGTACGCTTTATTTACTCCCTGATTTGGCAGTAAGCAAGTTTCATGAATGAGGGCCATCTCGATAATGTGAAACAGCTTATCTTCAAAGTCAGTTTGCGATATTATCTTGTACAATAAATATCGCACATCCCTAGTCAGCAGTGGGATTTCCTCCAAATTCCCTTCAGATTCAGGATCAGTAGCTGAGTTCTGGTGTAGAGCCTGAATACATCTCTTTTTAGAGGGTGTCCTAGTAGGTGTTACAACTTTAGAGAAAGGGCAGGCTCCTTTTGTGGCACCGGCACCTGCCACAGCTGATCAGTGGCATGTACACAACAAGTGGCGTTTAAAACGGCATGTGGGGAATAAATGGCGTGTAAAGCGGCATGTCGGCAATAAATGGCGTTTACAACGGTATGTGGGGAATAAACGGCATGTAAAGCGGCATGTGGGCAATAAATGGCGTTTACAACGGCATGTGGGGAATAAATGGCGTGTAAAGCGGCATGTGGGCAATAAATGGTGTTTAAAACGGCATGTGGACAACAAGTGGCGTTTAAAACGGCATGTGGACAACAAGTGGCGTGTAAAGCGGCATGTGGACAACAAGTGGCGTTTAAAACGGCATGTCGACAACAAGTGGCGTGTAAAGCGGCATGTGGACAACAAGTGGCGTTTAAAACGGCATGTGGACAACAAGTGGCGTGTAAAGCGGCATGTGGACAACAAGTGGCGTTTAAAACGGCATGTGGGGAATAAATGGCGTGTAAAGCGGCATGTGGACAACAAGTGGCGTTTAAAACGGCATGTGGGGAATAAATGGCGTGTAAAGCGGCATGTGGACAACAAGTGGCGTTTAAAACGGCGTGTGGGGAACAAATGCCGTTTAAAACGGCATGTGGGCAATAAATGGCGTTTAATACGGCATGTGGGCCATAAATGGCGTTTAAAACGGCATGTGGGGAATAAATAGCGTGTAAAACAAATACAGTTGAAAGCAGCCTGTACAAAAACAACAAGCAGCAGTATTAGAGCTAGTGGTCCAGTGGCTCAGATGGAAAAGCACAGATCTACGGTGCTGATGGTGGCTAGTTCAAATCCCCAGTGACTACCAATGACATTTGCTGATGTTGGGTCCTTGGGCATAACACTTCATGGAGGATGCCATAAGTTGTTTGACAAATGTAGTTTGAGTTATAATAAATTATTGCATACATTTGTTGAAAGACTTAATTCCATGTATTATATCTGGTTTAGATTTGCTCGAAGTGTATATTCCTGTGGCGCTCTTGGTTTATAACTGTTTTTCATGCGGAAGATTCCTGGTTCAAATCCAGGTCTGGTCTTTATTTTTTTGTTGTCAGATTAAATACAAATTGAACATGTATGAATATATATATTTCATACATATGGCTATGTGTTGTTGCAATAGTAATCTTGCATTAGGATTAATATTGCATCATCGTTAGGGTAAAACTAAATTATGTGTAAAACACTCAAGACACAATTTTACTTAAAACCACCTGGTGAGTGGTATAGTTGGTGTGTGTCCGCCAATCATGCAAGAGTTCGCAGATTCAAATCCAGCCAAGATCAAAACCTTTTTTATGACGGTTATTTCTTTATACATATATATATCTATAAATATCTATATATATATATTTATATATATATATACAGTTTTTATATAACTGCCATTAAAAAAAAAACGGTACTTTGATTCGATCTGCCAATCTTACGCACTATAGACGAATCTTTAATGACTGCGCCACTTATTTTGTTTTTTGACAAAGAAAAAAACGAAAGATTCTATTGTTGTTTTAGGACATTTCATCAAGAATGGAGCCAACCAAAGATAGTGAAGAGTGATGGATTGAAAAATACAAGCAGAAAGTTGTGTAATTGGAAAATGAGGTCTCATCTCTATATTGTTAAAATCTTCATTTCTGTTCTTGGACCGTTTAAGCTGTGTCTTATACTTTGCATTCTTTTATAAAAAAAATATATGTAATAATGCTCTTTCTTATTTTTCCATGTTTCTGATGTGGTTTTATTAAAGAAGAGAGAGAAATAAAATGTTTTTTTTCTTTTGTTATATATATATATATATATATATATATATATTAAGTGCTGGAGGTTTGGAGTTTCTGGAGCTGGAGATACTTGGATTACCTCAGGTGTGTTACGGTCCTGCACCAGACTCACATGGTCAAGAGAAGAGATGGAGTCCAGAGACGATGGAAGATCCACTGGACTGTCTTGCACAGGAGAAGTGGGGGCCACAGTGCAGAGGGTCTGAACCAGATCCTCAGGGATAAGATCCTCAGTGACAGGCTCCTCTAGGATTGGCTCCTCAAGGACAAGATCTTCGGGGAAATGCACGTCTGTGATTGGCTCCTCAACAACAGACTCCTCTGTGATTGGCTCCTCCGGGACAAAATCCTCAGAGACAGGCTCCTCTAGGATTGGATTATCTTGGATTGGGTCCTCAAGTATTGGCTTCTCTATGATTGGTTTCTCAGAGACAGGCTCCTCCAGGACTAGTTCCTCAGAGACACTGATCTCTGGGATAGACTCGTCTGGGACTAAATCCTCAAAAACATGCTCCTCTCGGAATGGGTTCTCTAGTATTGGCTCCTCTAGTCTGGGCTCCTCCATGATTTTTTCCTCAGAGACAGGGACCTCTGGGATTGGCTCCTCTAGGATTGGTTCCTCAGAGACCTCTGGGATTGGCTCCACTGGGACATAATCCTCAGTTACTAGATCCTCAGAAACAGTATCCTCTAGGAATGAAATCTCTAGGATTGGGTCCTCTAAGATTGGCTCCTCAGATTGGCTCCGCTATGACAGGCTACTCTAGGATTAGTTCCTCAGAGACAGGCTTGTCTAGGATTGGCTCCTCTAAGATCGGCTCCTCAGAGACAGGCTCGTCTAGGATTGGTTCCTCAGAGACAGGCTCGTCTAGGATGGGCTCCTCTAGAATTGGCTCCTCAGTGACAGGCTTGTCTAGGATTGGCTCCTCTAGAATTGGCTCCTCAGTGACAGGCTCGTCTAGGATTGGTTCCTCAGAGACAGGGACCTCTGGGATTGGCTCATCTTTGATTGGCTCCTTTGGGACAAAATCTTCAGAGACAGGCACCTTTAGGATGGTCTCCTTTAGGGCTGGTGGGGAATCCTCACTCTGGGATGTATGTGTGTCTCTCTGGGCTGGTGCAACAGTAGCTTTAAACGCCTGTCTGGCCTGGAGCTTCTCTGTCTCTCGCAGTTTGAAGACCCTCTGCTGGAAGAGGAGCTCCTCAGAGGGGGACAGGTGAGGGTTGTCCAGCTCCATCTGCTCTTTGAACCCCATCATGCGGAGCATCGCCTGAAGCTTGGCCATCTTCTTGTTTGGACCCACGCCCTGACAAGTCCTTTGGTCCACTCTGACCTCCATACAGAACTCTGATGCACTGCAGCCATAGTGTCGGAAGCCGACCACCTTGTACTCAGCCGGCCTCAGGATCTCTGTCAAGGCACTGATGGGGTCTTTCTTGTAGAAGAAGTAGACCCGCTGTGATGGGTCCACCAGCTCCATGTGGGGTTTGGACCAGTATGGAGTCACGTCCTCTGGCAAAGGACGCTTCTTCAGCTGATGCAACACCGCCTTTGCTGCAATTAGCTCGGCCTTTTGTTTGGTGTGGCCCAGAGTGACTTATCTATAAAAATGTCCTGTTGTTTTTATCTTGTCTAATTGTAACCGTACCTAGTTACTTTAGGTTCAGGATTGCAAATGGCAATGAAAATGAGGCAGAGGCAAGGATAAAAGTTTAATATTTATTTAGCACAAAAAGCTAGTTAAAAAGGGTATTTAACAGCCAATTAGTTAGAGATAAAACTGCATTAACTAGGTAGGTCGGTCGCAGCCGCACACGGCAGAAGCACATAGGCCGGAGCACCCACTGCAGCTCCGTGAACACTCACACACACACACACACGGGGAAACTAAGGAAACGTGAAAGTGAGGGCGTGCAACAATACCAAAACATACGAGGAGTGAGGGGGACTGACGTGAGACTCCGCCACCAAACCTCCACCAGGGACGACCACGCCCAGACCAGACCTTAGGGGAAGAAATGCAGATCTTAGGGGCAAATTGGTAACGGAGAACAAAACAAAAGTAAATAGCTATGCCTTAAACAAAATTATTCTAAGTAAATGATAAGACTAAATAAAAAGACAAAAACCAAATACTTAAATGAAAACCCAAACAAAACAGCAGTGGCCAACAGCATCTATGAAACAAATTGCTATTAGTTTCATGCCACATAACTACACAAACAAAAAGAGCACAACAGTGTATAATACCATGAGCACTATGTACAAAGTTAGTGAGGAGACATGGCCACGCACGACTTTTAACCAGTGGCCGTGGTAGCAGGCTGCTAAACAGCGTCTGCAACAAAGGAAGAAGAAACACTCCCATTAACCCACGGCTGACATTGTACAACAACAACAGGGAACACCTACCCGGCAGCTACTCGAGATCTGGCAGAACGAGTGAAGCCTGACAGCAGCTTACCTTCCTGTGCACTGGGGTGTCTATAAGTACTGTTGCTGATCGCTACTGAGCCAATACGGAAATGTGAGGGGAGGGGCATGTGTGCAGTAGTGTATGGTAGCCAGGAAGGGACAAACTACCTCCCGCTACATCTACCCCCGGGTTCTTTAAATTGGTGTCCCAACAATTTCAAACCTAATGGAAAGTTGCAGCCCTACTAGCCCTACTTTGCACGCTTGTTGGCAGGTTATTAGGGTTAGGATGCTGGCCGGCTGTCTGACGGGTAGAGCGTCTTGGTGGTGGTCCAAACCGTGAGCTGGGGGCAGGGCTGACCGTATGTGGGGCTGGTAGGAGTCCAACCCGTGACCCGGGGGCGGAGCTGACCGCTAGTGGGGCTGGTGGCCGAACAGCAGGGTCGTCAGCCTGGACTGGATGCGCAAGTACATCTGGCTCTCGACTCACCACCCAGAGGCCATCTGCGGCCCACTCCCCGGTTTCGGACAGCTCGGGGCTCCGGTTACTTGGATCAGGCCTGTCAGCGAGAGGGGGGGAAAGACTGCAGGGTATCGGTTTAAACATATTCCTGTGTACATAGCGTACCTGTGCAGGCTGGTCTTCACGGGCAACTGCATACACAGATTGGCCAGGGCTTGGGGACCCTACCACAATGAATACATCAGGGGCCCAGGCATCCTGAATTTTACTCCGCCCTCGGTGAGAGTGGTCACGTAGGTACACCTTCTGTCCTGCGGGCACCACATCCTCCGTCGCCCGCTTGTCCGCCCTCTCTTTCCTCTGTGCTGCAGCTGCCCACATCCGCTCACGGGCATTATCAGCTGCTACTTGCAATCTGTGCCGATGCTCCTCTATCCAACGGCAGACTTCCCCTGCAACAGGCTCGTTGACCCTTCCCAGGAGAAAATCCACTGGAAGCTGAGGTTCCCGGCCAAACATGAGGAGGAAAGGTGAATGTCCAGTAGTTTGATGTGGGGTAGTGTTGTAGCTGAAAAGTACTTGTGGCAAGTACTCAGGCCAACGCAGCTTCTGTTCTGCAGACAGAGTACGGAGGAGATTGTGCAGAGTGCGATTAAAACGTTCGCATTGGCCATTCCCCTGCGGGTGATAAGGGGTGGTCCTAGATTTTTTTATTCCGTACATCTCACACAATTGGTGTATCAATGCATTTTCAAAGCTACGACCCTGGTCGGAGTGTAGTCTGGCAGGAACTCCATACTTATAAAACCACTCTTTGACAATGTTTGTGCTACTGTAGTAGCCCTCTGGTCGCGGGTAGGGAAAACCTGGGTAAACTTAGAGAACACATCAGTCATTACCAACACAAGTTCTCGTCCATCCCGAGAGGGTTCTAATAATGAGAAGTCAATCGCTAAGATCTCGTTTGGTTTTGATGCCAATAAATGTCTCATAGGCGCTCGTACCTGGGGCTGAGTGTCCCTTGCAAGAGAGCAGCGCTCGCACCTCTGACACCACTCCCTGATAGTCTCGCCCATGCCTGGCCAATAGCACCTTTGCCGAATGAGTTCTGTAGTTCGCTCTGCTCCTTGGTGGCCATGGAATGTATGGAGCTGTGTAAAAACCTCTGATCTGAGGGTTTCGGGTAGCACTAGTTGGAAGAACACTTCGCCCCCATCAGGACGTTGACAGGCACGATGTAGTAGTTCATCCCGGAGCACTAGATTTTCCCAATCACGGAGTAACCTTCTGGCCGCAGGGTCAAGTGCCTCCCTCTCCATTCTTCCTGGGGCACACTGCCGCTGTATAAAGGCCAACACCGGGGCGATAGCTGGATCGGCCTGCTGCAACACCTTCACGTCATCTGTTGACCTCTCTCAGGGATGACTGACATAGCGCATTGAGTAGCCACACTGGTGCATTTTATGGCCAGTTGCACCTCGTTCGGAAGAGGAGTCCCTGGGCGTGCTGGAGTGGGCAGATCAGGAGGTTGGGTCTGGCGAGATAGCGCATCCGCATTTTGATTTGTTCTGCCAGGCCGGTATTTTACAGTGTAGTCAAAAACTGACAGCTCAGCCACCCAGCGCTGTTCTGTGGCTCCTAATTTAGCTGTGTTCAGGTAGCTGAGCGGGTTGTTATCAGTCCAGACCACGCACCTATGTCCAAGTAAATATTCCCTGAACCGTTCCGCCATTGCCCATTTCATAGCCAAAAACTCCAGCTTCATGGAACTGTAGTTTCGTTCTGCTGGATTCAGGCTGCGACTGGCATAGGCTATAGGCCGGATCCTCCCCTCCTCCTCTTGGGACAGGACAGCACCCAGACCCTCGTGACTGGCATCCACTTCTAAAATGAAAGGAAGCTGAAAGTTAGCATAGGCCAGGACTGGTGCAGAGACTAACCTTCTTTTTAGTGCTTGGAAGCTCTCTTCGCACTGGGGAGTCCAGGCGTCAGCGAGGCGCTCTCTCCTGCCCCGGTAGTTTTTCTTCCCTGAGAGTTGTGCTACCAACTTGTGTAGGGGAGCAGCCAGTTTTGCGAAACCCTCCACAAATCGCCTGTAATAGCTGGCAAAACCAAGAAATGACCTTAATTCCGTTACAGTATCCGGCCTGACCCACTCTGCTACAGCTGCAGTCTTCTTTGGGTCAGTGGCAACCCCGGATGCCGACACAACATGTCCCAGGTAGCTAACTTGCTGCTGTAGGAAATTACATTTACTCAGTTTTATTTTCAGAGACTCTCTGCTGAACCGCCGGAGAACCAGGTCCAATCTGTTCACGTGTTCCTCTACTGTGGGTGAGAAAACGATCACATCATCCAGGTACAGGAGCAATGAATAGCAATTTTGGTCCCCAAACATTCTCTCCATCAGCCTCTGAAATGTACTGGGGGCGTTACATAGCCCAAAAGGCATTCGCTGGAACTCAAAGAGGCCGAAGGGAGTGCAAAACGCTGTTTTCGGCTTGTCCTTTTCCGTGACTGCTACCTGGTGGTACCCGCTTGCCAAGTCAATTGTGGAAAACCACTTGGCCCCAGATAATGAATCTAAAGTCTCTTCGATTCGGGGCAAGGGAAAGGCATCTTTTCTGGTCTTGCCATTTAAGAGCCTGTAATCCACGCACAGTCGCAAGCTTCCGTCCTTTTTCCTAACCAGAACGATAGGGGAGGCATATGGGCTGCAACTTTCCTGTATGACCTGACTGTCCAACAGCTTTCGTATGTGGGCACGGACCTCGTCATAGTCTGATGGGGGTATGCGTCTATATCGCTGCCTGATTGGGACATCGTCATTAAGCGGTATGTCATGAGTAATGAGACTAGTGCAGCCTAAATCTAGGTCTGATGTGGCAAATACACCTTTATGCTGCAACAGGAGTGACTTTACCCTCTGCTGCTCTGGTCCAGCCAAATGAGACAAATCAAGGGCATTTATCTGTTCTGTAATTGAACTAGTTGTTGCCGCCTGGGAGGAGACTGTGACCGAATCACCAGCTGGCTGTCTCTTAGTAAGCGACACGCTGTCGGGGAGACTAACAACTTCGGCTTTGCTTATAATACCAATAGGCTGCCGAGGGTGTAACACTAGGTTGTCTGTCCCTACATTCACCACTGGGACATAAACTGTACCTTGGTGGATGTTGACCATAGCTGGTGAGATTAGCAGACCCTGTTGCAGAGACTGGCAATCATCCAAGGGCTCGAGTAACGCTGTGCCTGAGGACCGAAAAAAATGAGACGAACAGGTAGCGGCAACCCACTTAATTTTCCCCCCTGGAACTATGACCGAGCGCCTACCTCTCACTTTAGCCACTCCCCTCTCTGGCTGGAGAGTCTGGGACTCCATTCGGTGACAGTGCTGTAACGCCCGCTGCCAGAGCGGGGGTGCAAGGCGTATCTCAGGGAGATCAAAAAGGTGTGACCCATGTTGGCTGAACAACTGGTAGTAACACTCCTTAATCACATTCATGCCTATCACACCCTTTACCCCATCTGAAGCTTGCTGTCTGAACGGCTCCTTGACCACCAAGATACCCCGCTGCGGGACTACCATACCAAATATAGTGACGTCTAACTCGACGTAACCAACATAGGGAATATCAATGCCATTGGCTGCAGTGAGCTCAAGCCAATTACAGGGCCTAGGGACAGTGTGGAAATGTTGATAAAAGAAGCCCTCATAAACAGTGGAGACCATAGACCCCGTATCCAACAAAAAGTTTGCTGTAACAGCACCAAGCTTGGCAGTTACCTTAGGACATGGGGCAATGAGATTTGGGGCCGCTTGCTCTTGTGCTGCCCTGTGGGTTGATGAGCCGGTGCCCTCCCCTCCTGACGTTTGGCTCCTCACATCAGGGGGTTGCAGTTTCCCACCTCCTGGGCTGCTGTCACTGCCCCCATATGTGGGGCTCTAGGCTGGGAGGGCACACGTTCATTATCACAATCTCTAGCAAAATGGCCAGGTTTTTGACAACGCAGGCAGATTAGAGTGTTTGGCCGAGCTGTTCTACCTGGGGGACGTGCAGAAGTCTGTAATGCTTGGAGGCCTAGAGCCAACTGGTTAAGCTGCTCTTGCTGTTTTCTCAAACAGTTGCCGCAATTCCCTAAACTCCGAGCTGGCACTGGTAGAAGGTGCACGTGTGTTAGGGTAGTGCATTGAACTAATTGATGGTACTGAGTAGCTTCGGGGCCGGGGTTCCTCAGACCTTCCTTCCCGTTCCCACCTAATAGCATCTGCTCTCACCTCAATCAAGGTATGCGTGGGGCACTGCCTCACTAATCTCTTTAACTCCCTGCGAAGATGTGGATCCAACACATGCTCCACAAACTGATCGCGGAGGAGATTGGGGGCATCAGGCATAGACTGTGGGGCACTTCGCTCGACCTTCTCCATAAGGCAACACAATGCGTGTGAAAATTCCTGTAGCGATTCCCCTTCCTGCTGCCTCCTTGAGAAAAATGCTTGCTGTAATGAGACATACGATCTGCTACACCCATACAACTCTTGCAAAATTTTAAACATTTTCTCTGGGTCCTCTCTGTCTGCTCTAGGCCGGTACCTTATCTCATCCTTAGCCTCCCCCTCAAGATGGTCATACATAAAGTAAGCTTGGTCCACAGGCTGCAGGCATCTGGTTCTCAGAGTAGCCCTCATCTCTTCAACCCAGTCCTCCACAGGAATTCCAGTAATGCCCCTAAATGATGGACACTTTCTTTCTCTGGGAATGTATAACACACGTTCAGCTGGTGAGCCATTAGTGCGGTGTCGAGAGCTAGTAGTCCCAGAGTCTGTGGAAGTGGAGGCACCAGAGTCTGCGGGAGTTTCACGAACAGCAAGCCTCTCCTGGAGCCGCACATTTTCCGATTGGAGCTGTGCCAGCTGGTCCCTCAGCTCTTGCAGTTCCATAGTCATGGTTGAAGGGAGAGGCGGGCAGGTAGAGCACGTAGACACGTCTGAGAGGGGAGGACGATTGTTCTGGGGCAGCAGATCCCTCGAAGCGCCCACTGCTGTTTGCTTGGGTCTTTAAACAGTAATAAAACAAATTTCTTTTTTTTTTTTTTTAAACCTAGAGTCACTCACTCATCACCACAGCAATCCTTAGCCAGCAACGCCAGAATGTAACCGTACCTAGTTACTTTAGGTTCAGGATTGCAAATGGCAATGAAAATGAGGCAGAGGCAAGGATAAAAGTTTAATATTTATTTAGCACAAAAAGCTAGTTAAAAAGGGTATTTAAAAGCCAATTAGTTAAGAGATAAAACTGCATTAATTAGGTAGGTCGGTCGCAGCCGCACACGGCAGAAGCACATAGGCCGGAGCACCCACTGCAGCTCCGTGAACACTCACACACACACACACACGGGGAAACTAAGGAAACGTGAAAGTGAGGGCGTGCAACAATACCAAAACATACGAAGAGTGAGGGGGACTGACGTGAGACTCCGCCACCAAACCTCCACCAGGGACGACCACGCCCAGACCAGACCTTAGGGGAAGAAATGCAGATCTTAGGGGCAAATTGGTAACGGAGAACAAAACAAAAGTAAATAGCTATGCCTTAAACAAAATTATTCTAAGTAAATGATAAGACTAAATAAAAAGACAAAAACCAAATACTTAAATGAAAACCCAAACAAAACAGCAGTGGCCAACAGCATCTATGAAACAAATTGCTATTAGTTTCATGCCACATAACTACACAAACAAAAAGAGCACAACAGTGTATAATACCATGAGCACTATGTACAAAGTTAGTGAGGAGACATGGCCACGCACGACTTTTAACCAGTGGCCGTGGTAGCAGGCTGCTAAACAGCGTCTGCAACAAAGGAAGAAGAAACACTCCCATTAACCCACGGCTGACATTGTACAACAACAACAGGGAACACCTACCCGGCAGCTACTCGAGATCTGGCAGAACGAGTGAAGCCTGACAGCAGCTTACCTTCCTGTGCACTGGGGTGTCTATAAGTACTGTTGCTGATCGCTACTGAGCCAATACGGAAATGTGAGGGGAGGGGCATGTGTGCAGTAGTGTATGGTAGCCAGGAAGGGACAAACTACCTCCCGCTACATAATGTTTAATCATATTCCTATTTCAGTAATAAACTAATTATAACATTTCTTTTGTCGACGGTGCAGGACTTGAGAACTCTGCTGCCGCTGGAGCTCACGCAGATCTGTCTGTGTTCAGGACATTCACGTGAGCGCCCGCTGCAGGTTATGCTGTGATTATCAAAAGGTCTCAGCGCAGTCAGAGGTCTGGACGAACATCACGTTTCATTGATATTTTTCGATTCTCGACAAATGAGAGTATGTGGAATATGCTGTTATGTAAAGTTTTAGGGCTGCTTTTTTCAGCAGGGTCAGGGAAGAGTGTCAGAGTTGATGGAACGGTGGATGGAGAAAAGTACAGGACAATCTTGAAAAATGTTGGTTAATTTTTCTTTTCTCTGTTTCTCTGTCAAGCTGCATTAGTACTTTTGCGACACACAGAATCAATAATAAGGATTGATCACATGATCCACAAAAGATGCTCTAATGTCATCAAAATATCTTCAACAATGTCCTCCTCCTCTTGTTCCTTGTCTTCCTCTTCCTCTACCTCCTGCTCTGCCTCCAGACTTGCAAAGTTCTGAAAATGGCTAAACTGAGGCCTCTTTATGTTTGACTGATGTGTGTCGCGTTTTGTAAGTCAGTGTTCTCAAGTGTGTGTCTCAGTGTTTTCTATCACACAAATGTATTTGGTATTTTGAATAGATGTGTTTTCTCAATGCATTTATGAACAAAGTGTCTCATGTATGACACAGTGTGCAGTACTTTTGTTTGTTTGAGGTCTTTTGGTCTAAGCATGTGTCTATAGTGTTCAAGCAACAGGAAAAAACTAATGGAAGCGCAATTAAAACAGGCCGGTCAAATTTGACCGGGAGCACCAAAATAAGGGGCGAGAAACTAACACGACTTAAGGTTAGAAAACTTTTAACCCAAACATGTTAGATATGTATAAATAATTTAATATTTTAATTCAATATGTGTCTCCAGTAATAGGTCACATGTACATATCCTATTTGAAGAAAAAGTGGAGTTATTCTTATGAAGACAATAGACATCATGTCCATTATATTCATGTCTGCAATTTTCAGGAGCTTCTCCAATCAGAAAGCAGAATGAGTAAAACAGTTTCCCCAGCGCTTTCTCTTTTAATATTTCAATTTATTGTTATTGGATGCAGGAACATAAAACCTGCACTACTATTGCCGCTGTTTCTTTAATTGCCACTTTTTATTGTACATAATATATCCTGAGAAGACCATATTTTTTGCCTTCAATGTTTGCACACTTTCTTGTCTTGTCTTTTGCAAAAATCTTGAGTGATTCTATCCATGCCAAATGTGACATGTTGATTTCTCCTGTGTGAGACAAATTAAGTCTATCTTATCTTATCTAATAATATGTAGTCAGAGGAGGTAATACACAAAGTATTTATTGTTTAAAACATTTAAATCCAGCAGGTGGATGGCATCAGTAGTCACTGCTGAGTAGCTTGTGTCACAGGCAGGAAGATACAAAAGCTGGATTGCATTTGTAACAAGACCACTGCACATTACAGTTAATTTACATACATGAAAAATTTTGAGTTTGTGAAAAATCAATGTTGTAATCTTCAAACTAATCTTCAGAAATCATTGTAGAGATTGGGTTAAGGCAGTACTGCAAAATCTGTTGTGAAAGAAATAGGTCCAAAATCACTGCTCTATTGACCAGATGCATCGATGTCATCCAGTCACGTGATTGTGAATGAGCTTACGGTGCGAAACGGACCACAACTCTTAAAAACGGAGCTTCCTCTCCTAAATCTAGAAGTGGCTGCTTCAAGCACATGTTCGATTACGTTATAGGTGGAAGTAGGAGATCTTGTCAGGGCTCACAAAGAGTGGTATTTGGAGAAGTTAAGGATCGCCAAACAGGATGTTGACCCGTACCTTCTCCCCCCAGTCAATTTTATTGATTAAATGATATGTCTAATTTTGCCTGAATTCACCCTACATGATCTATATCATAATGCATCCCCTCACCGTGGAGCAGATGTACATTTTGCTGGTGGCAATAGCGCATTAGCAATAGTCCACTTTTCTGTGGCTTTTCTGTCTACAGCCAAACATGATACATATTGACGGAGAGGAAAATGGTGAAAAATGCAACTGAAGTCTAAGATAAGAGATCCTTTATTTGTGACACAGTGGGGAAATTACAATGTTGTAATTTCCCGTTTGACGTGTGTCATCGTCCTCCAACTTAATGGAAATAAAATAAATACAAACTTGTGATTGCTTTATCTTGTAAAAAGTGTTCACTGCATATTAGGGAGTACTTGGATGGGTCCCAGTCCTTTTGGTTGATTGCCGCCATCGTCGTCTTCTGTCTTCATGACGAGCAGGTATCAGATAAAAAGACACATTTGGCTTATGTCCTTGCCTGTTATTACAACCAACGGCATTGCAAAATATCACAGTTTTGGCTGTAATTCGCTGAAACAGGTTATTTTGGTCAGGTTTCCATATAGGCTCGCAGTTAGACTTCTGCCGTCTTTCATGGAGAGTGGGCGTGGCCGGGACGTCACATGCGTGGGGTCAATAGTCTGTGGTCGTCAGATCTGATTGGTCAGTTCCCAGGGTATCTGTGTTGAAATGAATTAAAAATACAACTTAAAGTGTGTTTAAACATGGGGAAAAAAGCATCATTATTACTTCACCAGGGGCTGTTTTGTTTTTAGCATTGATTAAACTGATGCTCAAAATATTGTCATGAACCGGGGTAAATCCTGAATAAATTATTAACAGTGTTGTGTGTCTCTTTTTGTTGGTGGTTGCATTGTTGTATTTTCTCCACAGCTCTCCCAGTCCACAAAAACACACTTTCATTATATCAGAGAGTATACAATTACAGCATGTATGAGCTGTAAAAAAAAAAAAAAGCCAAAGCGTAGCAAGACCAGCGAGTCCAGGGCACCCAGAGGATCATGAATAAGTCACTCTGCCTCGGGACCTCTCTCTGAAGGTGCAGCGCTGCGTTTCATCTGCTTCACTGGATGTCCTGCAGTCGAGGGGCGCCCTCTACACCGCGGTACATGGCGATGGATGGGCTCTTGGACATCATAAAGGCCCGGGATCACACGCCTCCATTCATTCTCCGGAGAGGGAACGTCATCCGGGCCAGATTCAAAGCTTTCGCTCTTCCTTGGAGTTTCGCCATCCTATACCGCATGACACTTTTCACATCAATTTTATATGCATTTACTGGACGAAGGGGGTGAGAGAATTATGTTTTCATAGCAGCATTGGAAAATAGGTGACATTTGGCCTGTTGTCAGGATGAAGTGTGGGTTCTGGAATAATAGAAGCGGCAGATGAAGAGCAGGCGCAGAGGTGAGGTGTTAGGACCATAGACTGTAGATATTAACGGTCAGAGTCATGCCTATCTCCGCCGTTCTAACTAATGGGCCAAAAAATTTGCTCTACTGGAGCAATCCAAAATGGCCGCGAGTGGTCCCGCCCACAAGAAGATTGTGAAAAAACCTATCTGCGCATGCGTCAGCCGGCGAGAGCTCCATTCATTTGAACGAGAGACTTAAAAAATTCACAGCAAGTAAACTAGAGTGGACCAAAAAATTTCCCCCCCCTCAGCATTGACACACATGTGGAACGGAGCTTTGGGCCAAGAGCTAGCTTTTGGACCATCCTGTAAAGACGTTTTCAAGAGGTCTGCCAATGCTGTATGTTAGCATTGGCTAATTCTTCTGGGTCCACCCCCATCGGCCCGGGGTGGTATTGCAAGCATGTCAGCGCACATCATTTTGGCCACTTTTGAGCCGGGACCCGCCCCCACTGGTTAGGACACAGGTTTGTCATTTATTACAATGCATATTTGCTTGTCGGGGTAATACCTATTGTGAAAAGCACTCGATGGTGATGATGATGCAAAATTCCACTGAGTCCTGGATCGATCCTGCCATCACTCTCTCAATATGTGTTGTTTCTTTTTTGGTTCCTTGGCGATGTAAGAGGGTCAAAGGACAATGATGATCCAGGATATTTAATAACATTTATGAACAGTGGCCATTCCGCTCCCAATGGCTCCAATGTGTTTGTCATTATGGGGTTGCTGTGTTTGAACTGTTCTATTGTCTGATCTGTTGTTGTTTAATTGACAATACAATACAATTATACAATAAAATTAATTGTTGTATAGCCCTAAATCACAGTAATCTCAGAGGTCTCAAAGAACCGTAAACACCAACACAGATCAGAGAATCAAACGGTTAAGACACAAAAAATACACACATGTAGTGGTCCATAGAAAATGACCAGTGTCAATGAATGTTCATGTCCATACATCACCGCAGTCCTTGTTCGACACTAACTGTCTAACAGACCCTCCTGCATCCGCAAGGAAAAACTCTAAAACCCAGTGTGAGAAAAGTGAGAAACCTACGGGAGAACCACATTGAGAGAGGGATCCGCTCCAGGACCTAAGCTATAGAACAAGGACCAAGGCCTCGCAGGGGCCGCAGAACGTGGACAATTTTGTAAAGACCTTTGAGATTACTGCTGTGGTGGTTTAGAGCTATACAAACCACTGTGGCACCTGGTGTTTCCAGAGGTCTCTCATCACAGTACTAACCAGGCCTGCCCTGCTTAGCTTCAGCGGTCTGAATGATTTGTACTTTTGAGGCACTGTATATTTTATACTTGTGTTATTCAGTATTTTTTGAAGAGTTGAAATGAATGTTCAAATATAAGAAGAAAGCAAATGTCAATGTGTGGTAATGAGTCTTTTGTTAATCCATTCTCCAGAGATCCCAGGTTTTTTCAAAATCTCATTGTTTCCTGTCCTTTTTCTAGTTAAACAGATGACTGTAATTAAGTCATTAGGAGCAACAAAGCCGAAGCTGGAGCTGCAGAGTTCAAACTCACTCTAAATGAGCGTCCACGGGGAACAGAGGCCAGAGCGATGGCGTCAGCAGCTGCCCCTGAAGTGACAAAAACAAACACCATTGAGAAAAACATTTCATTGTTACAATCAATGACAAAGCAGACTTTTACTGCTTCAATCATCGCATTTCTGTGTTTGAACTGTTTGATTCTCTGATCTGTGTTGGCAACTGTGTCTCTCGGCTGGCCTGGGAACGCCTCAGGATTCCCCCAGATGAGCTGGAGGAGGTGTGTGTGGAGAGGGAAGTCTGTGTGGAAGTGTTATCATTGAAATAGTGTCTCATAGAGTAAACTAACTTTTGAAGGGGGAGCTGTCTCATAAAAATAGCAAAATATTTATTTTGCCAGAGTTTTAGGCAAAATGGTGCATCTTTCAATACATGTTCAGGGGGTCAAATTAAGGTTCAAAAAGCAGAAGAAAAAGAAAGAAAGAAGGTGTTTAAACGCAGTGTTTGTAGATTTCTACTCCCATTTGTATACCATGTACTGTGTACCGTGTCCATACATTTACTGAAGTACCTCTGATAAACAGATCAATATTTAGAAGCAATTTTGGTTTGATTTGAATACTGCCTTAATCAAGCAACATGGTGTTATCAGACACCGGTATAATTTAACAACCAAAACTACATGTGCGATAAGATAAGATACTTTATTGATCTCATAATGGAGACATGTCACAATTCACACACATAGACTCACACAGGATGTGCAAAAAAACAGGGAGTGTGCAAACAGGATAAAATGTTAAAATATAGTCTCTTTTGTGCAAGATATTATGAACAATAAAATTAAAAGTACTCTACAATGTCTATATATTTGTCCAACATGAGGCCAGAGTAAGAGTCTACATGTTGAACCTAAACAGCATTTCCAGACCTTTTCACAGACTCCAACTTCTTGGCTGCACAACACCTTTCAAGGACTACAGAAAGACCCGGCTCCAATGAGAGATTTGGCATTTTCAGGTATAGGAAAAAGTCCATGCTGGCCTTACTCTCAGAAATAACACGAGTTCTTAAACTATTGACTACAGTGAAGAAGCTTACTTCAAAAGGTCCTCCTGACCTGTTTGCTGAGGAGCCTCAAACCGACTCTTTTTTTTCCCTCTCTCTCCCATCTCTCCACGGGATTTTCATTATTAATATGTTTTTTCTCAAGTTTCTCTCTGACCCGGGACATTAAATAAAACATTGTATGGTTCATGAAAGATTATGAAAGAGCACAACGTAAGCAGCAGGAGGTGTAAACTCAGCACAATTCATTCTGGTAGCTATATAATGTCAATGCCGGCACCCCTCACCCTACCTCATGCCCTGCAGGCATATTGGCGGAACCACCAATGGATGCTAAGCTTTTTCCGACAAAGCTCCGAAGATAAAGTATTTTCCTTTTATCCAGTCCGCGAATCAATTCTAGGCCTTACAGCGAAATCCCATAAAATAACTTCAAACACCGCTACTTACTCCAAAAATTTGTATTATGGCTATATCTCTTTGAAGCCGGCGCAGTGAAGTTTTAGAGGAAAATGATTTAAGCGTTATCTGCTAAGACATCTGCGTGTCAGCACTTCACCTCAGTTTTTCTTCACATGTCAACCCCAACCTTGTAGCGCTCGCCCGGTGTTTGGTTTCTGATTGCTCCTAAGCATCGGAGGAGCGGGGATAAATACAATGCTGCTTGTAAAGTTAATGGCTGGAGTGAGAGCAAACAAGACGGCAACGGAGCCCTGCTGGTGCCGCCCGCCCGCTCGCTAGCTCGCTCCTCTGCTGAAATATTCATCTGCCTTCACTCTTCTTCAACAATATCATACAAAGTGGGGCTGATAAAAGCAGCGTGTCAGCCAGGGAGAAGTCAAAAGGAGCTACACAAGGCCTCATTAGCCCATCTCCAGCAACGTGCCATACCAACAGTCAACATTAATTACTCGGCATAAATATAGTCACATGCAAGAACCAGGTTTCCTCCATAACTTTGTCAAAATGAAATTGGCTAACGAGCAGACTAACACCTGTCAGATAGCTGGCCGCCTATTATTAGTTTTTTATCAAGATGCATGACATTTACAAAGGCTAATTAGCAATCTAATTAACTTGCCAACATTTCATTTGTTGGGAAGAGAAAGCGTGCGCACCTGAGGATGACAAGTATATTTTGACATCTTTCTGAGCTCAACTTATCTGTGTGACGCAAATGCAAATTGCTAGAAGGCGATATGCAAAAAAAGTACTTTTGATTCGAGCTGCTGTAATTAATGGCATTGCAAACGTAAATAATGAGGGTACGATTGTTTGACGAGAATCACTTCTCATAGATATTTGTTTAATGTTATAAGAGCGCTACCACAAGGCCTTCATCCCCACCACTGTCAGACCTGCACTGACTCTAAACTTGCACTGCACTTTTGATTTAATTGTTCATATTATATCTTGCACACAAAAAACAAATTCACTTTTACAACATGTTTGCTCATTTGTTTGCACGTTTCCTGTCTTTTGCACATCTTGGCGAGTGGGGGCGGGTCCCGGCTCAAAAAACGTCCATGATCACATTTTTTGTTTACATTTTTCTGCTTTTCACCCATTGCATGTATTTTATAATGCACAATGGGAACCTGGAACCCGGCCTGGACATGGATCTCTAACTCGGCCTGTGTCCCTGCTTTTTTTTCCCCCACTGGGTTTTTAAGTGTTTTGCTGACGGAGGAGGGTCTCGGGACAGGGGATGATCTGAGACAATTATAGATATTGCTTATCTTATGGATTTGTGACTCCTGGGTCTTTTATTGTTGTTTTTATACATTTTAATTGCGATTTTCTAAACTGCCGCCACAATTCCTTGACGACTTTTGATTCTGGGTGGGATGTATAAAAGTAAATAAATGTGATCTCTTTGGCACAGCCATAAAACTCAACATAAAAATATTTTTTTCACTCATGTGATGTTGAGAACAAACAGTATGAACTTTTTTTTATACAAGAGGCAGTCACTAATAATTTACCGTTCTTTCGAAAAAATTACTTAAAACACTACGGCATTGTCTGATTAATTTAATGCATGACAGAGCAGTTTATCTCTCTATCTATACTGCTCCATAGTAAAATAGCTCATGCACTGCAAAGAGCGATGAATAAAAAGTCAAATAATTGTTCAAATTTTGCAAAGTATATCCCAATTTGAGCACATTTTGACTGCCTTAAAACAAGATTTGGCAAAGGACCAAGCAAGTGTTGTTTTGTCTCTTTATATATTCTACTAAATGCTAAACTCCAAAGCAATCCTATTTATTTAAAAAAGTACAAGTCAAGAACTGCGCCAGCGTTTAAAGTGAAACATATTCCAAATTACATTATGCAACTTTCCTCTCGGACAGAACTTCACCTCCTACAAGCAGCTCTGTTTCTCTGCTGCATATTCCAATGCCAAATCCACATAGTGTAGCCTACAGCCACATGGTTAATATTACACCGGGTTGGACTTCTATCGCGGGAGTGGGCAGAGTTACAAATTGGATCTTTCTACACAAAAAAAACTGGTGTGCGTGCGGCGTTGGCTTCCTTCTGCGGGACCTTTCTCTTGCTGCTGTTGGCCTCTCCGTGGGATGGCTGCAGCTAAGGGCCAGTGGAGGATTGGAAATGGTCATCACGTTTTTCATGGGCTTTTCTGACTTTTTGACCTCCTGGAAACTGCGCAGAGAGACGATGGGTGCCCACGAAAATCAATATCTCCACTGTAGACCAGAAGGTAAATACAATAAGCACGGGCGATTTGAAAGAGTCAAACTTAAGTATTGTGAGTGAGGCGAGTTCAGAGCGCTTTGATTAGTGCATCAAAACTTCAATCGGAGCAGTCAATTTGACGGCTTTCGGTTGTGTAATAAGTGTAATTACTAATGTATGTATATTTTGTATGTTTTTTGGTCTTCATAACGTTGTGACTTTTCCTGTTTCTTTAAGTAGTTTATTTCTATGTTTTTATGTTTAGGAAATTATCTCGATCCTGTGACTTGGGTGGCATCACTGATTGCCAACCCCCCCAACCCAGAAATGGATTAAGGGGTAGATAATGGATGGATGGAAGGTCTTCATCAGAGCAGACAATAAAGCACAGATGCTATTAATAGACACAAGTCAGGTGATGCGTCATGTGTGGTCTGAACCAAAATTCAATATTTGTTTTAACTATTTGAAATACTTCATTTTAATTAGTAGTGATTTTTTCAGAATTCCAGTCATTTGAATGGAAGCCGTCACAATCACTGCTCTGAGGGTTTTTTAGCAGCTCTTCCATTGTAAGTAAGTAATCTTTATTTTTTAAAGCACCTTTCCCAGACCAGAGTCACAAAGCACTTTACAATTGTTGTGGGCACTTGTCTCTCACTCCACACAGAGATGGTAGCGAGGAGGCGCACAGCAGACCTATTGTGCTTGTTTTTAGTGGTAAGTGAAACCGGAGCATCCAGAGGGAACCTTCACAGACACAGGGAGAACATGCAAACTCCTCTCAGAAAGGCCCCCGTCCTGACCAATTATTGTTGTTTCTCTGCAAGTCTTTTTTTTAATTCCAACACTGCAGCAAGTGAGGCCATCTCATGTGATAGGAGTCAATATGGGCGGCTGTAACTAATTATTAGTTTCATAATCGACTAATCTAGGGTATTTCTACAATTAAATCAATTGTTTTTATTCTATAATTTTGACACAGAAAAACATAAATTGAAGCCGCTGAAGGACATTCTATTTTATTTTATTTCCTAATCAAATACAGACCTTTTTAAATTATGTCTATGTTTGAATCTCAAATTCCAATCAGCAAATGTTGGATTCTGTCCGGTAATGATCAATTATTGAAAAATACATGATTAGCTGTGAATAATCAATTATTTTGAGATCTTTCATTATGAATTGAAATCCTTCCACCTCTGTATTCACTTTAAAGTTTTGGTGGTATTTCAACATATTTACAGAGCCTTTGATTTTAAGCAGAATATTGTGAAAAACATAATAATGACGAAAGGTTTTTTTAAATCCTCTTTGTCTGCATTTATAAAATATGCCATAAAAGACTCACTTGTTCAACTTGACTTTTAACTCATGACTAATTGTGTACACTACAGCACTCTGGGGCAGTGTTGAATATTTTGTAGGCAATTTCATTTGCAAACAATTGCTTCTGTGATGAGTACCTGCCCAAGAGTGAGGAGTGTGCAGTATTTATGGACATTGGTCATCTGTCCCTTATGGATTAACGGCTCAATGTGTTTTTGTATCATTAAATTTCTTGTGTTTGAACTGATTCTCTAATCTGTGTTGGCAAATTTGTCGGTTTTGTAAAGTCCTCCGGGATAACTACGACGACTATAGCCTACCAAACTGAAGTGTGAGGGTCCCAGTGGGGGCGGGTCCCGGCTCATAAATGTCCGAAATGACGTGGGCTGACATGCTTGCAATACCACCCCGGGCCGGTGGGGGTGGACCTGGAAAAAAATTAGCCAATGCTAATGTATAGCATCTTCTTACCACTCAAATAAGGCTTTACAGGATGGTCCAAAAGTCGGCTCTTTGCCCAACGCTATATTCCAAATGTGTGTCAATGCTGAGGGGAGTGTATTTTTTTGGACCAGTATAGTTTAGTCGCCGTGGAATTTTGAAGGCACTTGTCAAATGAATGGGGCTCGTGTCGGCTGACCCGCCGCGGCTATTGTGAAACTGCCCACAGACGACGAAAAGTTAACATTTACTGTCTATAGAGGGTCTGCATTAAGTTAAAAATGGCCGTTAATGAGAGACAGAGAGAGACGGACAGACAGAGAAAGAGAGATATAGAGAAAGAAACAGAGATAGAGAGAGAGATACGTAGATAGATACATACTTTACCGGTCCTCCATATTAGAAATCCAGGTGTCCAGCAGCAGAAACACATCCATATTTACAAACACATAGATACATAATTTTTTTCCGTTTCTATTGGTAATAATTGTGGCTTATTGCTTGTAGCCTCATCCTCAGTGTTTAGAGGTGTCATTTGGCATCGACACCGCTTCAGTGTTGTAATCTGAAAGTATTCATGAGGATGCGTGTGAATAATTCAAAGTCCTCTTGCCAACTGCTGAGGGAGGCC